TTCCTTCGGACGACTCTTGCGAGAGTTCACCAAGAATCTGAGATTCCGTCGACGTAGATGTCACTCACCGCACATACAACTCGAATTACAAAGCGTCCCAGGTACACACGAAACCTGTAACTTACCGCCATGTTTAAATTAAATACACTCATTAAGGGCAAGTGCTCCGTTACATGATACCTGTCTTATTTAATTTGCAACCCCTTCCCCGACCATCATCCTCACTTTGAAGGCATCGCAGGATATTTATTCGCAGCCTCCCTTAGGGGTCTCCTGCGCGAAAAGCGCAAGTGACGTTAAACGTTAAACGTTAAGTAACTCGCGATGTTACCATTTCGCACGATGGGAGGGGTTACCCTCCCGTTCCCCTCCCGCCGCATAATCCTGCGACGAAGACACTCGTTCCGCTCGTACATATCACGTACATACCACCGAGCACTTTGTACTGTGCGACGCGACGTGCCGATGAATATTTCAAGCGTCAGTTATCCGCCGTATACAATATTAACAACCCTGTCAGTACGAAGTCCGATTAAGCCGAAGCGCAAATAGCGTTTTAATATTTCACGCACTCGGCGCGCTAACAACTTCAGTGTCGGCGGCTTAAGAGGAAGGGGAGGAGACAACAGTGGTCGTGCGCGGCGCACCGGACGATAAGAAACATTCATTTGTGAAATCAAATCCGCCTCCGAGGGAGGACCGTATATCGCGGTCGTGAACATCTGTCCGTATGCTTTCACAATGGATCCCACCGGCGCCGAGTGGGAACAAATATAATAGGAATAGAAATTTACTGTTCAAAAATCGCTAGAGACCACAATTTTTTAGCAATTGGGATGCGTTTTTTTCTTTTAATTAAACGTTAATCAATGTAGAAAAAAACTGTCGAGCCCGATTTTTTAAAACATTCTTTTAAATTTTGCAGTATTGAAAAGAATTTGTAAGAAATTATCAAGTTTTGCGAGGCTCTGTTACAAATGGAAAAGCTCTCCATCTTTTCGCTGCGCAATACAGTGTACTAAGATTTTCAGCATCGCTGATTACGAATGTGATATAAAAATCAGAATTTGGCAGTTAACAATTGCTAATCTCCTGTCAACATAAACAAAATCATTGTTTTAACACAGTGTATATACGTTGCAATAGACTATACAAAGCCGTTCAACATAAATGTGAAGTCTGATGTGAACAAAATTGTTTAAACAATGTATTTAGAAAATTATTGTTTTGAAAACCTGATGCTTGATGATTTGAAAATATCAGATCAAAGCTACATATTTGGTTTTCGTGAGAACAATTCTGTCATAAACAAATTATTTTGCAACTTTTTTCCGCTGAATTTGTTATTTTTATCATACTTGTTCCATTTATACATAACAGAGGCTCGCAAAACTTGATAACTTCTTACAAATTCTTTTTAATACTGCAAAATTTAAAAGAATATTTTCAAAAATCGGACTCGACAGCTTTTTCCTATATTGATTAACGTTCAATTAAAATAAAAAAACGCATCGCTATAAAATTGTGATCTCTAGCGATTTTTGAACAGTAAATTTCTATTTGTTCGCACTCGGCGCAGCCACCGCAAGACGGACCGCACTTTTCGCCGCGCGCGAATCGCGCTTCGACGACGTGACACGACGCGGGCCCCCCCGGGAACGAGAGAGCGAGAAGCGTCGCGTGTATAATTGCCGCAATAAGTACGCTGACGTTTACAAATGGACGTGCGAGGCCTTCGAAAACCGCTGTCCTCGTTCCGTGATTAATAAGAGTTAAACAAAAAGTCGGCAGGTACGCGTAGCTGGCCATCTCGCGCTCTCGCGCGACATTTAAATGGCCAACGGTGGATATCACGCGACGATTACCGCGCGTCACGGCGAGTTCAAGCGCTATCAAGACAAAAGTTCAATTGTTTCGTCGCAACAAGTTTCGTCGGATATTCCCTGCCCGACAGTCGCCGCGGAATCGCCCTTACGGGATTCGATCTGATCCATTTCAATACACACAGCGGGTCATTCGGGTACTTTATGTGGAAGAGAAAAAAGGAAAAAATACATAATGCTCCTCGATGTCGTATATAATATCCGGCGTATTTCACTTGATAATACCGTTATCAAGAATCACGTACGATTGTCGCGAGTTTTGGGCAAGAAAACTTTTCGTATCATAAATCATAATCGAATATTCGAAATATGCGGGGCCGACGATGGAGCAGTTCGAAACGGATTTTATCGAATCACCTTCAAAATCGCTGCGAGCACACGCGAGTGTTGCCAGACTTTCGAACTTTTTGCCCATGATACATTTCGCGATATGTACACTTATCTTCCGATGTCATGACGAATAAAACATTGAACGTTACACATCGATTTTTGCGATAGTCAGAGAGATATAGAGCGAGAGGAAGAGAGTGAGAAAAGGAAGGGAAGAAAGAGAGAAAGAGAGAGAGAGAGAGAGAGAGAGAGAGAGAGAGAGAGAGAGAGAGAGAGAGAGAGAGAGAGTGAGTGAGTGAGTGAGTGAGAGAGAGAGAGAGAGAGAGAGAGGGGAGAGAGCCGGCGTGTCCAGCGCAGTTTTATCGTCGAGCACAGCCGAGTAAATTCGACGCGACATTTTTTACCAAAATTATTTATAAACGCGCCTCTATTCTCTGTCCCTTCCTTCCCTTTTCTTCCCATCTTTTTTTCCCTTTCTTGCCAATACCAACGAGTATACAGCGTCGTTGATTGCTCGTAGTCTTGTTGTATTATCGGAAAAATTGCTCCTCTCGAGACGCGAGCACTCGTCGCGCGAAACGGCCGTGACAAGAAAATATAGATGTAGGTTTATGTGTCCGCATACAAAGTACAAGCTAATCGATATTTATCGATCGGCCGGACGCGTAGGCGAGCAAAGGACACGCTAACAAGAATCCTTCGACACTCGTAATCAGTCCTCTCGATAAAGCCCCGTGCGTGTGCGGCTTTCTTTTTCTCCTCACCGGGCCGGTGCAATCTGCTGATTAAATAAACTGGAAAATATCACGTCCGATGCTCGGCAGAGAATATCGTGCTCAGCGTGATATTAACCCGCTTGTTATTCGCGAATCGCAATCTCACGGCGAATCAAACGTTTCCCGGCCTCGTACTCGAACGTCGAGACGGAAGCTCGAGCTCCCTTCGCTCGAGCGCCTTCATAATCTCCGTTTCGCCGGTGCTTATCGATGGATCTGCGAATAAATTGCAAAAGTACCTCGATCTCGCGATCTGACCCCCCCCCCCCGGCAAGGCGACAGGTCGACTCTACGCACGACGCGTCTAACGAGCGTCTGCCGCGATCGGACGTATGCAAATATTGCAAATCGCGACGATGACCTCTCGAAGATGATTTTTGTGCAAACAATGACGGACGATACGCCCGCGCCGCGCCGCGCCGCGCCGCTCGCGCTCACGCGCGCGATTATCGCTGCCGTTTCGTCGGTTCTGCCGATGGCAGTCGATCGTAGGTCAGGGCCATCTGCATCGCGCGGGAGGCGGAAGCGAAAAAAAGAACTGGAAAAAAGATCCGATAATGCAAGCCTCCTGTTCGCAGGACGACCGCGCGACGGCCATATTTCTGTCGGCGATTCTCCCTGTACCTTTTTCGCCCCTTTTTTCCCTTCCTCGCTCGAAAGCCGCGCGCAGCCCGTCACTCACGGCCTCGGTGCCGCCTGGCCGAGCGGAATAAAGCGATCGAGAGTTCGTTTACATCCGGGGCTACTCGCGGATCATCGCTGGTACTTGCGAACGATACACCCTCGCCGCGCTAATCTCTCCCCCGCTGGATGGCAAATATGTAAACTCGCGCGTGCAATACGAAAGGTTAGTGGCTCGATACTGACGTAGAAATGCGAGAATCGGCTGAGAATCTACGTCGGACCTCGAAGAGAAGAATCACGAATCGGCAGATCTCCGACGACCGGCCAACCGAGTCGTCTCCAACGAGCGAACGTCGCGTTTGTTTCTCGCACCTCCTCCTCGCGTGCTTCGTCGTCGAGGCGAACTCGATTACGGCCTGTCACTGTCATATTATATCGGTAGCCTGTTTATATTTTATGACGTGACGTACGTAGAATAGCGTATATACGGGCGAAATGAACGCGTATATACGCGACGAACACGACGAGCTGCTAAGTGTGCGGCACGAACTGGAAAACTCGATCGCGAAACTCAGCTTTTGCCGGTTGGCCTCGGCGCTTATTAAGCTCTCTCGACGGAATATTATGCATTGCCAACGCTTAGCCGGTGTTGCGCGTTTCAAATAATTACCAAAAATTTTATCCGAAGCCCCGCTCGTATCCGCGTGATACGTGACGCTCGATACGCTCCAACAAGTAAGGCGTGCGAAAGGCGTTCGGTTATCTTTATTAATTCTGCCTGCTCGGCTGGTAATTTCGCGTCTGTAGAGCAATCGCTAATGATGCGAATATATACTTGTTAAGGTCGAATTTTTCGGAGCAGAAAGCGTTCAATTATGCGCTTTTATCTTCGAACGAGGAGTATCGGATATCCAAGACCCAAACTATTCGCGATGAAACTACGAAGCTGCGCAGCTTGCGCTATATTATTCGCCTCTCTCTCCCTCCCCCTCTCTCTCCCCCCCTCTCTCTCTCTCTCTCTCTCTCTCTCTCTCTCCTTCTTAACTTAGATTTAAATCCAAGACGCTTAGTATGAATTACGCTACGCGGTTTCACCAGGGAGCGATAGCGACACGGTGGATTCCCGAATAGAGCCGTAACTCCGGACTCTCTCTCTCTCTCTCTCTCGATCTCCCCTTCTCTCTGGAGAAATCGGAGAAGGCGAACGTGACATCCGTGTTCTCCACGGCACCCAAATAATCTCGACCGCCTCCGACGACCTTCGACGACAGGGCATAAGAACGACTCGCGTACGAAATCGGCCAGTTGGCCGCGATCGACCCGATCGGATTTGCCTCGCGCAATGCACGGCACGGCAACAAGTAACCAGCAAGTGATAGCCTCTCACCTCTGCGCGCGCTCTCCGGTCGGAGGACAGAGCCGAAGTAGGCCAGCGGAACTCCGAAACTTCAGCCCTTAGTGCTCCACGCGAACGCACGAACGCGAGTTCTTACTTCCATCTTCCGTGCACGCATCGAGCACGACGCGGCGGCGGCTTTCACGATCGGCACGCGACGGCACTGTCACCTCACGGCGCGACCACCAGCGGCCGTGGACGGTGGATGATCCGCGGCGTTGGTACATCGATGATGATCCCCGAGCGAGTCGATCGGCACCGCGACAGCTCGTCCAGGATCAACGGAGATGGCAGGAAACGAGAGTTCAAAAGGAATCGTGGCTCATCGCGCCACCGCCGCTGCTCACGAGCGTCCACGAGCGGCTCCGCGCGTACACTCGGAGATCGTCTTCTCGATCCCACGTCGGATCCCACGTACACACTTGGGTCGATTCGATCGTCCTAGACCGTAATCTGCATCGAGCGACGGCCACGAGCGCGATCGTCCTTGGCGATAAGTCACACAGTCGAGTCCGCCCGATAGCGTACGAAGAGGATGACCTTGTCGAAGTCGTTAAATCGTCAGACACCCGAGCCTCCTCCTGACCCTCCGAAACATTTTCGCGCCCGCGCGCGCGTGCGACTTTCCCTCGTCGTGTTCGAGTCGCGTTGTTTCTCCTTCGGCTGACTCGGGATCGTCCGTTTCCACTTGCACTGAACCTGTCTCTTTGCACCTTCGCACGCCGCGTTTACTTTTATACTTGCGAAGGACGCATCCCGGTAGCGTCCGGAGAATCTCACGCGAAAGAACGAGAGAGAGAGAGATAGAGAGAGAGAAAGAGAGAAAAAAGAAAGAAAGAGAAAGAGAGAGAGAGAGAGAGAGGGGGAGAGAGAGAGAGAGAGAGAGGGAGAGAGGGAGAACGGAAGTCACGTGCGCGTGCAGAAATCGGACGCAGGATCGGGATCGACGTCGGATCCTCGACGAGACGTCGATCCGCGATCGACAATCGCGAGCCGGCCGGACTTCCCGGTCCGGACTGAGAAAACGTCTCTTCGACCCGTCGTTCACGTCGAGCACACGCTCTCTTTCAAGACGAATCGCCCGACGAACACGCGGCGAGGATTCAAGTGAGCGCCGTGAGCGTCGCGACGCCGTGCACCGTCGTCGTCGTCGTCGTCGTCGTCGTCGTCGTAGTCAACCCCGTTCCGACGGACGCGTGCGCAGGAGCGTTCGGCACCCTTCGATGCCCGTGCAGGGGGATGAATCGTTTCTCATGGAGTTATTATCAATTCACCTACTTCTCGCCGTGATCACACGAGCGGCTCGCGCGGCGCCGCGAAAATATTTCAATTAACAATGGGCCTCTGGAACGCGACGCGCAAAAGGTGCTTGTTTTATATCGCTCGTCAATTCGATGTTCTACATACTGCGTTCTACATACAGTCGGCTGCGGGACCGTCCAGGCGCTTTTTTTCCTGTTCCTTTTTTTTTTCGGTTTTCTCGAACGAGCATTCGAGGTAAACGTCGAGTGTCGAGATTTCACGGATTCTTCGCTTATTCCGCGCTAAATTGCTAATATTCCTCGGGACATGTCCAGTGTAATATCATTAATATACTGTCCCCGATTATCCGGGATTATCCATTATGCCGACGCTCGATTATCCAGATGCGTCGGGCGCGATCAAAAGATTGCCTTGTGCAAATTCATTTCGCACGGCGGAAGCTTCAAATGCAATTTTCTCTTCTTTCCCGCTCTTTTAGCACCTAATATAACAAATACAATTAGCCGGGAGAACATATCGTATTCGGAAAGATTCTCCATATCGCCCGCGCGATTAATACCAACTTAATGTTTCAGGTTTGACTAAGGCTGGATCGCGACTCGACAGCTGACCTATAAATAAAACAAAGAGATTTATCGATTACATTAATTATTCGCCAGGAAGTATTCCCGTCCCAATGACAATAAACCGCTCATGTCTGGCGTGTATATCAGCGGAAATATATTTCACTTTGTTTCGGCGTCACGCAACGACACGAGAGCTAAATGTAACGTGCATAATTGGAAAACACGAGGAGATTGACGGCGATTGATTCGCCGTCAATGAAATCGCGTCCTACGAAGCGAACCTCGGAATTCTCGTCTCGTCGTGAGGTGACCGACGTGTCTAGCGTAACAACTGTTACGTTGTTAATCCGACGATATGTACACCTTGGAGACGGATTTTTCTCAAGCGATAGGTGCCGCTCATCTTCCTCCACTGACGGCAGCTGGCTGGTCGCAGCGGTGATTCAAAGTTGTTCATCACGCTGTGGAAACATCGTGAGAACGGTCAGGCGACCGTATATGTGTTCGTCACGATAAGTTTCGTCATTATCAAGCTATGGCGTAAGTTTTTTTATATTGAACTGCAAATGGTGCGATAACCGCGAGCGACGAGTCGCAAAGAACTTACGCATTTCTCTACGCAGCCGCGTCTTCTTCTGTCTGCTTTTTCTGTCTTCCGAATGTTGCGACATATTGAGCCGCTGATTAATCCGACGACACTCCGCGGTTCGCGTCCGAGGTGAGTTTGCGTCACGGGATTCCCTGATACGGATAAGCTAAACTGGAAACCAACCTTGGCGAATGCGGAGCGGAAGTACAATAGGAGACTGCACGAGCGATTAGACGAGGCAGCTGGAGTTATGGAGTTAAAAACAGATCAATCCGAATCTCACACTTTGTCTTTGCCCAACTGTCGCAATCTTTATTAATATGCTCACGTGCTAATACATAACAATATAAATTAAAACTGCGCGTCATTAGTGCCCGATTATGTAATTTTTATATTAAACGTCAACGGGATCTCGCGGTGTTATTGCATCCCGCAAGTGAAAAGTATCAAAAGGGCAACCGCAAAAAGAAGGAAAAAGATTGGAGAGAAACGACGAGAGCGCATTTCCAGCGCAGCGCTGGAAATAATGATATTTCACGGATCTTAAATAAACGTTATTGTGACGTTATTGTTGTACTCTTTATCGCGGCTGCTTCACCGCATGTTTACGATCGTGTGCAGTTCGCTCGAACCACATACTTCCTGAACAGGCAAATTTAGTTCGCGGTTAGCTTGTTCTTATATCGATCGACTTGATGAACGGCTTTGGAAAATGCATTCCATGTATCCGGTGCAGTCGCAACAATCGTACCTGACAGCGACCACAGTACACAAAGCCAGAGTTGCCCTTTCCTTCGCTTTGACGTGGATGCGCGACAGAGACTTAGCCGAAAATTAACCCCATTACGCGAAGTAATGAGTGAAATATCGCGACGTCATGAACATCACAAGGTTAATTGAGATAAAGTTACAATTCGAACTACTGACTGACGAATAGCGTCTTTATCATTCACTCGTTTAAAATTTGTGTATATCTATGTGTGCGCGCGCGCGTGTGTATGTGTGTGTGTGTGTGTGTGTGTGTATTTGCCTTTGCGTAGTACTTAAGAAAATATACACAGAATTGAAGCAGTAACTGAAGTGGATAATTCTACTTTGGTAATTGTTTGTCACGCCTGCCACGTCACGACTGGCATGCATAATCGATAATGTTCACGCATGTATACACACATGCAATATATGAAAAATAACGTTCGCGTTCCAGATACATAATGCGAAAGCAGATTTTCTCGCGCATCATCGAAAAGTTCATCACAGTCAAATCGAATTGTCCCTGAATGGCGATGACTGAACGATACTAAGCGCTTTTAGTGAAACAGATGTAGTTGTGGAGACAGTTAGGCATGTTTCATGCAACCTAATGAGCAAAATAGCACACGTGAGCCGAGGCAAGTTTAATACTATAACATCGCAATGGTTTCACGAATAAAAGACATTGTAATAAATTTCGGACATAAATGTTGAGCAAGCAGAAGCAAAATTCAATAATCGATTAGAAGAGCGAGTTATTAATTATTGTTACTCCTAATTCTAATCTCTTGAAAATCTGATCTTGAAAATTTCTGCTGCCTCATATTATTGTATAACTATTATTTGATCCGTGTCCTCAAACAGAAAAAAATTTACGAGACATCAAACTCTGTTTTAATGTGCACATCAGACAACCAAACGAAATTTTAATCTTATACTTATGTATACACAATATTTATATTTCAAATTATATAAATATAAATAATTTTTGTATTTATGTATTTGCCATTGAAATTGATAAAAATTTAGGATTTACAACTTACAGTTCTCTTTGCACTCACTGAATGGGTTCAGATTTCGCGCATTTTCGTACGCAGTAACTGCAGGAAACACGTTACATCTGAATTTCGTTCAGTAATTGCACGAAAACTGCATTACATTTCTAACAGAACCTGCAAATATGTTAACAAATATGTATTTGTCTCGACGAAACGAGAGCGCAATAAAGTGGAAATAATGATATTTCACGGATCTTAAATAAATGCGACGCTATTGTTGTATTCTTTATCGCGGCTGCTTCACCGCATATTTACGATCGAATGCAGTTTGTTCAACAGCTGAAACATTTTTCGAACATAATATTTCTGAGATATTTGAATGGATCCTTTAAAATGGGACATCCTGTATATTCAATTATTGCCAAGTAAGGAAAATCAATCACTGCTTGTCAACACATCTAAAGAATATATTTACAAAATTGAATATGACTTCTATATATTAACAAATGCAGTATATATTCTATCGCTAAGCCAGTCGTACAACGGCAGTTCGTCTTTCGACATACTTCTTGAAACTTCAGGAGCACCACACAAGCAATAAGAGGTACAAATGTGACGATACGAATAACGATAGTAAGTACGTTATAAAAGAGACGGGAACGATCCGATTCCACTTCCATGAATAAGAAATTTGCCATTTATTTTCAAGAACACTCATTGTCAACTCTTGGGTCATTATATCCGTTTGCACATTTTTTTCAACTACAAATCTAATAAGCAATAAATATAAAATATTAGAAGCTTAGAGTGGCAACGGTTTTCTTCTGAAATTAATTTTCGAAGAATAAATAGTGCAGAAACCTATTATGAATTTCCTACACGACAATATTTTGTTAATATTATTGCAATTGATAATAATATTAACACTATGCGATAGAATATAACATATGACATGATGACGGAATGTATTCAGAAATATATAATGGCATAATAGGTTTATCATTCTATAAGATAATTATTTGACATGCTAACTAAGATCAATCATATTATTATACGTGCCACCCATCAATTTCTTTTAATTTAATGTTAGAGAATAGTTAAATTTAGCATAATCTGTTTAAAAAATGTAATTCCGTCTTTGGCATCATTACCAAGGAATAAGCAACGTTATTAATAAAATAAACTGTAAGTGAATGTGTAGAAAAAATGTTACCGATTTTCGGTCATTATAAGCTTGAATACCAATACAAGCTTGAAATAAATTCTATAAATAATAAAACATACAAAACAATATCACCTACATGCAATTCCCGTTATGAAGCGGATAAATTTATTGATTATTAAGCAGGAAACGATAGTGGCATCCCAGCAAAGACGGCAAGACAAGCTTATGATGACATCCAACACTTTGAACGCCAGTGTTGGAATACAAGAGAAAGCTCCTTCGGCTACGTCAGAAATAGACAATAAACATGTTACGTACAGAGGAAATAGTTCGCACTCAGCGATTGAAGAATGGATAAATTATCTACCAAATGTGAAGTGGCGCAATGTTGCAACAATAAGTTTTGTACACTTATGTGCATTGTACAGTCTCGTCACTATCGACTTTACAATAGATATCAGGACAGTCTTTTGGTGTAAGTACAATTTAGGAGATGAGACGCTTCGATCTTTACGTGTGAGACAATAGCTAGATAGAATGTTGACTACATTACGTAGAATTTCATTGCGTAGAATTAATGATAATTAATACATTCGATGTATTTTACTTCAAGATATCTTGATTCGCGTAATTCAAGCGATGGGCTTTACCGCTGGTGCTCATCGTTACTGGACACATCGAACTTTCAAAGCAAAATTGCTACTTAGGATCATACTTGTCTTTTGCTATATTACAGCTGACCAGGTAAACATATAGCTGTCTAAATTTAGCGCTGTACAGAAAAAGTGAAAGAGGAAATAGTAGACGTAATAGAAATAAAACGAAATAATATTTTACTTACGACAGTTTTCTTGCTTAGATCTCTATCCGCAATTGGGTCCGAGATCATCGAACACACCACAAATTCACGGAAACAAATGCAGATCCACACAACAGCAATCGGGGATTCTTCTTCTCTCATGTCGGGTGGTTGATGGTAAAAAAGCATCCAGAGGTTATCAAAAAAGGTCAACAAATCGATGATAATGATATTTCACGGATTTTAAATAAATATAACATTATTGTTCTACTCTCTATCGCGACTGCTTTACCGCATGTTGTGTACAGTTTTGTTGCCACATACTTCCTGAGCAGGCAAATTTAGTTCGCAGTTAGCTTGTTCTTGCATCAATCAACTTGATGAACGGCTTTGGAAAATTTGTCCCACGTAACCGATGCAATCCCAACAACTATACATGACAGCGGCCACGGTACACAAAACTAGAGTTTCTTTTTCCTTCACTTTGACGTAGACACAGTTTAACCATACACAGTTACGACAGTAAAGTCGGAACCTTTGATGTTTGTGTTACTTAGACATGTGACCTACCGCCATATTTTGGATAGTATAAAAGCGAGTTATTCAAAGATATGAAATAACAAAAGATAGTTAAAAAATTTCTAGCTCGATATATCATAGACTTCAGAATTGATGAAATAGATGATAAGTTAAAAGAAGTCACGGAAGAAGTTGAGAAAAGTTAAATTCGATTAAATTAAATTATAAAACACAGTTAGATAATAATGAATAAACAAACATATTGCGACTTTTATTGTATTTTGAATGAATAAAGATATACATTTCAAGTATTATTTTAAACTTGTAATCAGTTGATAGTTGCGATGGACAAAGTGCTAAAAAATATTTACAATTTTCACAGTTGAATATAAAGTTGTAAAATGTGAGAAATGGTTAATAATTGGTTATTTTGGTGAGAAAATCAAAATATTAACATAGCAATTTACAAAGTTGTTTAAATTACATAGAATATTTCCTGCTTTTTGTTAATTGTTGGTTTAATCTCGCTTACCCCCTTCGCAAAAGTTGCTGTAGAAGAAGATAAAAATTTCTCCATTAGTAATATTCTACTAGACAGTAATATTCTACTTACAGTAAAATCCTACTTAATGTTCGATTCTGTTAGTGCATTTTTCAACTGTTCTTTCAACTTTCTGTTTTCTCGCCGCAATGAAATGATTTTTTATTTTAAACGATTCTTTCTTGGAATGTTGTGAGACAACTTCTGAGACAACGTTTGCGTTTGTTTATTGTTTATTGAATACTTTAGAAGAGTTAATTTCTACCAAACCTAACCTAACCTAACCTAACCTTGTAAGGTATTACGCTCATCTATTATCATTAGCGTCCCAGCTATAAATAATAATTATTACATGTAAGTAATAAATATATCAATAATAAATACTTTGTTAATTGTGTATCATATAGTGTTTATTAAGAATAATATTTGGCAATTTATCAGTCATTCTGATAATCATTAATTTATTTTTAATTATTGTTTACATTTGTACTATTTGAAACCTACCAGAATTCTTACTTCCACGTAGATCTATTTGTAAATCATCTAATGTTTTATTTGCTTTCATTTCTGTTTCCTGATGCAATTCCTGTTCACATTCTATATTCTCTATATTCTCTATATTCTCTGTGAAAAATAGTTATTAGTATCACTTAAGTTAAATAAAAATATAAAGCAGAATATTACCTCTTGAAATAATGTAAGTGTCACAATCTAGATTTATCATAAAATTTGATGTGGTCTGTGTTGCATTTAGTATATCTCGAGGAAGAAGTCTAGTTTTTAAATTGTTTTCAATATAATCATCTGGCACTGTCTGTTTTCGCGTATTTTAATGGAAAAAGAAAACTTGGCGACAAAGAATAAAATTGATGGCCCGAGGAAGGCCGAACGACGGTAAATCAGGAGCACAGGAACGGCGGTAAACGGGGAACCCGACGATTCCGAGGAAGACCGATCAGTGGAAGTACAGGATCACTAGGCAGCCGACGATCTTGAGGAAGACCGGTCGGCGGGAACGCAGGAATGCAGGAACTCAGGAAGCTATCGATCCCCGGGAAGATCAGGCAGCCGGTACGCAGGAGCACCGGGAAGCCAACGATCCCGAAGAAAAACGGTCGACGGGAACGCAGGAATGCAGGAATGCAGGAACTCAGGAAACCGACGCTCCCAGGGAAGATCAGGCAATCGGAACGCAGGAGCTCTGGGAAAAACGTGACGCTTCAGATCACTCTTCAAATGCAAATGAAGACCAAAAGAATACACCGCTCGAGATAACAACTCTCAAATATTTCTGGTTGCCGAGCACCTGAAACATAGGAGAGAAGCCTCATTGGCGCGAGCAATGAACTCGGATAGTTTTGCAAAGATTCGATAATCGAGAAGGTTGTAACGAGCTGCGAGATATCGCAGGACTCGTGCGATATCGCTAGCCACCGAACCGCGAAAGCTCGCCATGTATCTCCGCCGCCGCACAGTGTGCCGAAAGTCGTTAAACGTGGCCAAAATAGAAAAAAATGAAAATCGTAATTTTTGGTTCTCCTTTACAGTATATTTTCGAGAAGGTCCAAATTAATCAATTGTAGTTAAAGTATGTCGGAATTCGACTGTATAACGAAGATATGTGGAATGAAAGTTATATATATTGAGATGTAAGAAATAGCACGATTATAATCCTCAGAATGATATATCTGATTTTGCTTCGAAAAAGTTTCCATGATCAAAATGATTTTTCCTGTTTAATATCTGATCCGTTTACTTTCATTTACAAGGAAAATAATATTAGAATGTCTTATATATATCACATAACAATTAAATGTAAAGAAGTTATATTTTATATACTGTCTATCATCTATTTCGTATACAAAAAATTCACGATCTGCCACAACGTTGTACTTTTGTCAAAACAAAGGTAGGATGTTTATTAATGTTTATACAGAAGTAGAAACAGCGGTATCCAGCGGTTACAAAGATATGATAAATTTTATGAGCAGCGATCCATACTTTATACGCTTACGGTCAAATCCTCTCAGTTGTAGATAATACCGATTCATACCAAAATTAAATTGTCGACCAAAATAATTTACTCTAGTTAAATTTATGATGTTGGCAAACAAACTAACAATTAACCACAAACTTTAAACTTTTATTTATTTCGAACGCGATAACAACTGTTTAATAATGCAACCTAGTAAACATTTTATGTCGAATATGTAACATATATGTTTAATGTTATACACAGAGATGTTTCTGCTATATATCTGACTTTTGTGACATATCTGCAACGCAACAAAGCTTATATATATAGCAGAACCATCTCTGTACATAACATTTAACATATATGTTACGTATATGACAAAAAATGTTTACCGTGAACATTTACGGGGAAAATTGTAATTTTTAACGTAAAATAAACAAATCATAAATTGATAAACAACATAAACAATATAAATATAAAAAACTAATAACAATAAAAAATATAAATATGAAAATTATAAATATAAAAGCTAAAGGTTATATAAAATAAACATTTTTTGTTGCTTTGTTTTTATATATATAAACTATTTTATAACATTACCGTGACAGAAATCTCCCCCTAGGTAGAAATGGGAATCCTTATTATTATTATTATTATTATTATTATTTAAAAGACTTTTGCTTTCCTCAGACCCTGTTATTTCGTCCTTCAAACAAACTTCTGTTAAAAAAGCTGATCCTTTTCCTACAGAAGTTCTTCAATTATTAGCAGCTCCAACTTTGGAAGATACAGTTTTATTGCATGGTGAATAACCATATATCATAAAATAATACAAAAATATAAAAACAAAAGAAAATAAAATAAACAAAAATAAAAAAATATAAAAACAAAAATATACGTGTTATTTACTTAAACAATATGTCAATATTATTTATTACGCTATTAGTTATTACGCTATTATGTTACTTTCGTATTTTTTCCCGTAGAATCAAGTAGCGTAATCAGTTTTGTTCTACAGTCATTATTTAGTTATTTGTTTATAACAATTAATTGCAACATTGATTTTTGCAACTTCCTTTTTACTGGAAAAATGACTCCTCATGCTACGGTTCTATTTCCAATTATCAGTTTTTGGCTAACCTTCCTGGTTCAGCCATAATTAATTTTGGCCACTTTTCGGGGCTTTCGGCACACTGTGCGCCGTAAGCTAACGAACGAGTCCTTAGATTCAACTCTTTTTCGAAAATTTCCTGTAATAATGAAAGAGTGATTAAAACCGAGATATTTTCTTACTGAAAACATACCATTCACTTCGCATCGTTTTGAGTCATTCAAGATTTCTCAACACAAATCATTCAGATACATGTTTTCGTCGAAATGATCACTTCGAATTCGATAATTTTTATACAATTCTTCAGCGGTTCTATCAATCGTACGATTGCAAGCTTTGACTCATAATTTAGGCCTATACAAAAATATACTTATATTAGGTGTATAACTTTGCTTCCGCCGTTTTCGTATAGATGGCTTTAGCGGTAAGTAGTGGTCGAAATAAATAAATCATAGACGTCATGCAATAAACTTGGGCATCTGTCAACATAACCCCATAGTAACATTAGTCGATTTGTGTCTGCATCATAAAGTTATTCAAGATTGAAAATGTCAGTTTACGAGCCAAATTCTCGTCATTTGCGGGAGGTTTTAATTTTCTGCTTCAATATGAAGAAATCTGCGGCTGAGGCTGCGGCGAATGCTCTCAAATACTTATGGTGAGGCCGCTATTAGTGAAAGAACGTATCGTGAGTGGTTTCAACGCTTCAAGAACGGTGATTTTCACGTCGAAGACCGGCATAGCGGTGGAAGAGAGAAGGTTTTCGAAGATGCAAAATTGGAGGGCATTACTTAATGAAGACTCGTGTCAAAGTCAAGAAGAATTGGCACGATCATTGGGAATGACTCAACAAGCAATTTCAAAACGCCTCAAAGACATGGGAATGATTCAGAAGCAAGGAAATTGGGTGCCGTACGAGTTGAAACCGAGAGATGTTGAACGGCGTTTGTTTGCTCGTGAACAGTTGCTTGAAAGGCAAAGACGGAAGGGATTTCTGCATTGCATTGTGACTGGGGACGAAAAATGGGTTCATTACGATAACCCCAAGCGCAGAAAATCATGGGCATATCCACATCGACGGCCAAACCGAATATTCACGGCTCCAAGGTCATGCTCTGTATTTGGTGGGACCAGCTCGGCGTAGTGTATTATGAGCTGTTAAAACCGACTGAAACAATCACAGGTGATCGTTATCAAACGCAATTAATGCGTTTGAGCCGAGCATTGAAAGACAAACGGCCGCAATACAACGAGAGACACGATAAAATGATTTTGCAGCATGGCAATGCTCGACCCCATGTTGCGAAAATGGTCAAGACATACTTGGAAACGTTGAAATGGGAAGTCCTACCCCACCCGTCGTATTCTCCAGACGTTGCTCCCTCTGACTATCACTTGTTTCGATCAATGGCACACGGCCTGATTGACCAGCACTTCCGGTTTTATGGAGAAGTAAGAAATTGGATCGATTCGCGGATCGCTTCAAAAGATGACTAGTTTTTTCAACGCGGGATTCGTACGCTACCCGAAAGATGGAAGAAAGTAGTGGCCAGCGATGAACAATACTTTGAATCATAAATGTATAACCAGTTTTTTACAATAAAGCCTCGAATTTCGGGAAAAAACGGCGGAAGCAAAGTTGTACACCTAATATAATTCTTATATCGTTATATATATAAACTATTATACTAACTATAAACTATTGTACTAACGTACATATTAGTATCCGTATTATTTAGAGAAAATCTTTACTTATATTTCTAGATCGTCTAGAAAACGAAAAAACTTTATTCTTGCATTTCATCCAGATATGTTTATATTCATTACACAGGAAAATCCACCTTTACTCATTATTATGACTTGAAAATCTATAATGAAAAATAATATTGAAAAACAAATGCACTATATTTCACTTACGTAATACAGAACAATTAATCATACAAAAATAACCGTTAAAAACACTGTTATTATCCTCACACTGCCACGTTTTGGATAGTATAGTTGACGCATGCGCCTTGAAATATTTTACGAAATCTTTCGGCGATTGTCGTAACTGTGTATGATTAAACTGTGACGTGGATGTGCGACAGAAATTTAGCCGAAAATTAACCCCATTACATGAAGTAATGAGTTCGAATATCGCAACGCCATGAACATCATAAGGTTAATTGAAATGAGCTGACTGACAAATAGCGTCTTTATCACTCACTTGTTTAGAATTTGTGTGTGTGTGTAATTTCCTTTACGTAGTATCTAAGAAAATACACACAGAATGGAAGCGATAACTGAAGTGGACAGTTCTACTTTGGTAGTTGTTTGTCATATCTGCCACGTCACAACTGTTATGCGTAATCGATAATGTCTACGCACGTATACATACGTGCAATACACGAAGAAGAACGCACGCGTTTCAGATGCACAACGCGAATGCAGATTCTTGCGCGCATCATTGAAAAGTTCATCGCAGTCAAATCGAGTTGAATCCCTGAATGGAGATGACCGAACGCGAATAATCGTCGCGTTGGTGCGCTCGCTTTAAAGCATAAGAGAAAGTGTTTCTATTCGACCTACCTGAAACGAGAAGCCACTCTCTACTACGGTCCTAAGTCGTTTGTAACATCACTGTACCGTCTCCCGTACTTTCCGTGCATCGGGATTTTAAACTACAGTACTTTTCAACTACAGTAATTTTCAACTACAGTACTCAATCCCACGATTTTCATCAATATTGAGCTTTTTCTGAAATAGGTGTATTGGTGGATACAAGTTAGGCAGGTTTCATATAGCCTAATAATTAAAACAGCATACATGAGCCGAGACAAGTTTAATACTAACGACGTCACAGTGGCTTCGCGAATAAAAGACTATTACTGTAATAAATTTCGGACATAAATGTTGAGCAAGCAGAAGCAAAATTCAATGATCGATCAAGAAGCGAGTTATTAATTATTGTAATTTATGTACTTTTTGAAAATCTGCTCTTGGAAATTTCTGCTACATCATATTATACTATTGTATAAACATTATTGGATCTGTGTCCCCAAATAGAAAAAAATTTACGCGATATCAAACTCTGTTCTATATGCACATCATGCAACCAAACAAAATTTTAATCCTATACTCGTGTACACAACATTTATATTTCGAATTATACAAATTTAAGTATTTTTCTTATTTATGTACTTACCATTGACACTGATAAAAACTTAGGATGTAAAATTCACTGTCCTCTTTGCATTCACTAAACGGATTCAGATTTTGCGCCTCCTTCATACATGGTAACTGCAGGAAACGCGTTACATTTAAATTTCATTCAGTAATTGTACGAAATCTGCATTACATCTGCATACTACTTTATTCATTTCACTGCTTTTATCAATGGCTATTGTACCTGTATCTATACTATCATTAAAAGCTTGAAATACATTCTCATATACACAACAAAATTATCTGAATGCAAGTTGCAATATAAATACAGTAAATACAGTAGTAAAATATAAATAAATACAGTGTTACATAACTGTTAAGTAGGAAACGATAATGGATCATGGCAAAGATTATGAGACTAACTTACGATCATACCCATCAGGCGATTACATATTCAATCATTGCTAAGTAAGTGAAATCGATCACTGCATATCATTACAAGGAATGCATTTACAAAATGGAATACGATTTCCATCACCTATAAATACAGTGTACTTGTCGCTAAGCTAGTCGCACGACGGCAGTTCACCTTTCAACATACTTCCTAAAACTTCAGGAGCACCACACAAGCAATAAGTGATACAAATGTAACGATACGAATAACGATAGTAAGTACGTTACGAAAGAGACGGGAACGATCGGATTCCACTTCCATGAATGAGAAATTTGCCATTTATTTTCAAGAACACTCACTATCAGCTCTTAGGTCATTATATTTGTTTGCACATTTTTTTCAACCACAAATCTAATAAACAATAAATATAAAATAGTAGAGTGGCAACGATTTCCTTCTGAAATTAATTCTCGAGGAATAAATGACAGAAACGTATTAAGAATTTCCTACACGACAATATTTTGTTAATATTATTGCAATTGATAATAATTTTAATACTATGCGATAGAATATAACATATGACATGATGACGGAATATATTCAGAAATATATGATGGCGTAATAGATTTATTATTCTAATAATAATCATTTGACGCACTAACTGATGACTAAAATCAATTACATGTTTATTATACATGCTATCCATCAATTTCTTTTAATTTAATATTATGAGGTAATTAAATTTAGCATAATCTATTTAAAGAACGGAATTCCATCTTTTGCAATATTACCAAGAAACATATAACTTTATTAATGAAATAAACTGTGGGAAAATATATAGAAAAAGAGACACTGCCGATTTTGTTATTCACAAATTTCTTTTATTAATAATACAAGGTTTCTTGCTCTTGACTATTGCACCTGTGTATAACATTATATTATATTGACATAAATTCTATAAATAATGGAACGTACGAAACAAAGTTGCCCGCATACAATTTCCGTAAGCAGATGTAATTCATTGATTATTAAGCAGCAAACGATAGTGGCGCATTCCAAAGACGGCAAGGCGAGCTTACGATAACGTCCAACGTTTTGAACGCCAATGTTGGAGTACAAGAGAAAGCTGCTTCGGCTACGTCGGAAATAGACAACAAACATGTTAGCGATAGAGGAAATAGTTTGCACTCAGCGATTAAGGAATTGATAGGTTATCTACCAAATATAAAATGGCGCAATGTTGCTATAATATCTTTTTGGCATTTATGTACATTGTACAGCCTGTTTACTATTATCGCCTGTTTACTATATCGACTTTACAATCGATATCAGGACAGTCCTTTGGTGTAAGTACAATTTGAAAGATGAAACGCTTAGATCGTTACGTATGAAACAATAGCTAGATAGGTTGTTGATTACATTGCGGAGAATTTCATAATAATGATAATTAATAGACTCAATGTATTTTACTTCAAGATATCTTTATTTGCGCAATTCAAGCGATGGACTTCACCGCTGCTGCTCATCGTTACTGGTCGCATCGAAGTTTCAAAGCAAAATTGCCACTGAGAATCATACTTCTTCTTTGCCACCTCACAGCTGTTCAGGTAAACACACAACTGTTCAAATTTACCGCAGATAAAGTGAGAGAGGAAGAAATGAACGAAAGAGAAATGAAACAAGATAATATTTTTCTTACGATGGTTTTCTTTAGTTGTTGGGTCAGAGATCATCGGATACATCATAAATACGTGGATACAGATGCGGATCCATACAACAGCAATCGGGGATTCTTCTTCTTTCATGTCGGGTGGTTGATGGTAAAAAAGCATCCAGAGGTTATCAAAAAAGATCAACAAATCTATATAAGCGATATTAAGGCGGATTCTCTCGTTATATGTTTGCTGATAAGTGAGTCCTCGTCCGTTTGTATAACATATCCTGTTATAATCTAGTGCCTGACAAGTAAAAGGGAATGAATCTAGACACATTGAATTTGATCGTATTTTTCTCGGTGTACTTCTTGGATACAGAACCTGTCTATCTGAATATCAATTTAGTATCATTGAGAAATTATTTTTAATCTTACTTGTAATTTTACTTGTTTCCGCAGTCATTTTTAGAAATTAACTTTCATTTTCGCCCATATGATACCGATTGTGATGCCCGTTTACGGGTGGAACGAAATATGGATATTGTCATTGAAATTGCATTCATTGAGTTATACATTCGGGTCCCATAGTGCGGCTAGTATTAACAGTTTCGCTCACATGTGGGGTACAAAACCGCATGACATATAAGATCTCTGTTCATCTATTTATTGAAAGTTAATTACGTACATACAGTACGTCTTAGCTATAATTATGCTAATACTAAGATATTTGGCAATTAGCAAACCACACCTTGCTAACAATTTAATGAGGCTTAAAGAAATTATAGTTGCGATTTATTTGAATGACAGGCACATTAAACCAACCAATAACGTGATGGTCTCAATTGTATCTTTCGGCGAGGGTTCACATAATTATCATCACATGTTCCCATGGGACTACAAAGCATCTGAATTCGGTACACACACATACAACTTTCCGGCTATGTTCATCGATTTCTTTGCAAAAATTGGTTGGACATATGATCTATAAGAACCCTCTCTGGAGCTCGTGAAGTCTGTCGCAATGGAGAATAAAATGGCCGAGCGCCATTGCAAGTGGGATGCTGTATCGCCTCCGAATGATGAAGGTAAAATATATTCGTAACCTAACTCATAGACTATGAGTTGGACGGGACTCCTGTATATTGAAATCGCTTAGTCTACGGTCCACGACTAGCGTTACATTTGTTTTAACACATTGAACGAATTGCTTCTTATTGAGGAATAGCAGTTTACTGAATATAAAGAAGAAATTATATTCCTCTGATTTTTATATTCTTTTTAGCGGAGTGTAGAGCATAAATAAAAATATAAACTGAATAATTGGCTTACTGTCATTTGATTCACTTTTTCTCCTCTTCTCCTTATATTTCGTATTTATTAATGACAGACTAGATATAAATAATATTATACCAGCACAACTAGCACTAGCCAGACATGCAATTTACCTATATTTTGGCGAAAACGTGTCACATCGAAATATCGCGTATTAGGCATAAATCCTATTTCAGATCAATTTAGTAAAGGTGTAGCTAACACTATATAGTTTCTGCATACCTGGAATACGTATATAAGAAAAGCGGAAGTTAATTAGACATCTGCAAACGAAACGTACTGTATGCGATTTATATAAACTTATCCTTCACTTTTCAAATTTTATATTTTCGTTAATTATGCTAGATTATGCTGAGATTTCAAAAATTGTGCAAATATTATGCCGAGGGAATACAACAATTTTTTTCTTATTGCGATAAATTGTCAAATGTTTAAATTTCGTAGTACAACTGTTTAAGAATGTTGTTCGTAGAAATTGCAAATTTTGTATATATTTCCACATCACTTGAACCGTTAGGTAATCTAAATTTGAGACTTGCACAATTGTATGACTTGAAAGCAAAAAAAATCCTGTCAAAGATTTTTGCGAATTTCATGATAGAGAGAAAATTGATAAAAATGGTGTAAATGAATAAAAAATTGCTAATTCCCAAATTTTCTTAAATTATGTTACATTGTACCGAAGTAATACAATAATTTTGGAAAAACTATTATTCTTGCGTGCAAAACAGACGCAAGCCGTACAGTCACAAAGAACTTATACATTTCTCTAAACAGCGCTCTAAGCGTCTTTTGCTTCTTCTCTCTTTCGAATTATGCGATATTGAGCCACTAATTAATTCGATGACATCCCGCAGTTCGCGTCCAAGATGAGTTTGTATCACGGGATTCCCGTTACAGATAAGCTAAACTGAAAACCAACTTGGCGAATGCAGAGCGAAAGTACAATGGGAGACTGCACGAGCGATCAGACGAGACAGCTGGAATTATGATTAAAACAGATCAATCTGAATCTCGTACTTTGTCTTTGCCTAACTGTTCCACTTTTCATTTATACTCACATGCTGATACATAACGATACTAATTAAGATTATCGACTGTATATCATTACTGACCGACTATGTGACTTTTGTATTAAACGGGATCTCGTGGTGTTATAGCATCCCGCATGTGAAAAGTATCAAAAGGGTCAAAAGTATCAAAAATTTAGTTCGCGGTTAGCTTGTTCTTGTATTGATCGACTTGATGAACGGTTCTGGAAAATGCGTTCCACGCATCTAGTGCAGTTGCAACAACCGTACTTGATAGCGATCACGGTACACAAAACCAGAATTGCCCTTTCCTTTGCTTTGATGTGAGTGTACGACAGAGACTTAACTCAAAATTAACGCCATTACACGAAGTAATGTTACTGACTTTTGGAATACTACTTTGGAAATTTCAAAATCATCAAATTAACAAAAATCAGGGCACTATTGTAACAATATATTCGTGAGACTAACTAAAGCAAGAAATTCTAAATAAAAAATAAGGTTTCCATTTACGCAAGTTAACTTCCAAATGACCTTGAAGGTCATGGTTAAGATCAGATTCAAGGTCCCCATCAAGTCCGTTACTCGATTTTCTACAACTTTTATTTAAACTTTTTCATGAAAACTTGATCCTGCAAAGTTATCCGGGGGTTCCAGTATTTTTAAGACTCCCTGTATGATGGCGTATTAAGTTTATCATTTTAACAATAATTATTTGACGCACTAACTGATGATTAAGATAAATCATATGTTTATACGTGCTATCCATCAACTTATTTTAATTTAATATATAGAAAATATATATAAAAGTGACACTTTGCCGATTTTGTTGTTCACACATTTTTTTTATTAATAACACAAGGTTTTACATGGTTGTTCGCAAACTAGTTTCGGAATTTTTCGTTCTGTTTGATATAATTTACATATATACAAGAGCTTTATGTGGTATTGTCAAATACAATTTATAATATCTAAATTCCCAGTAAATACAAAGTATCATTGCTGTTACAAAGTATCATTGCTGTTACAATGTCAGCTAAATCACATGGTACGTTACATCGCGAATTAGGCATAAATCCCATTTCAGATCAATTCAGGAAAGGTATAACTAATATTACAATTTTAAGATACTCCGTATACCATACGCATATAAGAAAAACGGAAGTTACTTAAACGTCTGCAAACGAAACGTATTATATGCGATCTGTGTAAACTTGTCCTGGATTTTTAGAATTTTGTATTTTCGTTAATTACGCTAGATTATGCCAAGATTTCAGAAATTGTGCCGGAATATGCCGAGGGAATACAGTTTACCATTTTTACCATGTTATGTATTTGTGAATACATTTCTTTTTAATTGCGATAAGTTGTCAGATGTTTAAATTTCGTAGTAACTGTTTAGGAATGTTGTTCGCAAAAATTGCAAATTTCGTATTTTTTATGATATTTAAACCGTTAGATTAGATCTAAATTTGTGATTTGTGCACAATTGAAAGCAACAAGGACATCGCCAAAAATCTTTTATCGAATTTCCGTGATAGAGATAAAGTTGGTCAAAAGTGGTGCCAATAAATAAAAAATTGCTGACTCCCAAATTTTCTTAGATTATATCACATTGTACCTAACTAATACAATAATTCTGGAAAAAATATTATTATTGCTTGCAAAACAGACGCGTCGGACTGCGAGCAGTGCGTCCAAGGTGAGTTTGCATCACAGGATTCCTATTACAGGTAAGCTAAGCTGGAAACCAATTTGGCAAATGCGGAACGGAAATACAATGAAGATCTGCACGAGCGATTAAACGAGGCAGGTGGAGTTATCGTTAAAACAGATTAGTCCGAATCTCGCACTTTGTCTCAGCCTAACTGTCGCACTCCTCATTAATATTCACATGCTGATACATAACAATGCTAATTAAAACTGCGCGTCAGTAGTGCCCAGTTATGTGACTTTTATAGTAAACGTCAACGGGATCTCGCGTAACATCCCGCGTGTGAAAAGTACCGAAAGGGCAAACATAAAAAGAAGGGAAAGAAAAAAATTGGAGAAAAACGACGAGATGAAAGTGCAATAAGGTGAAAATAATGATATTTTACGGATCTTAAATAAATGCGACGTTATTGTTATACTCTTCGTCGCGGCTGCTTCGCCGCATGTTTACAATCGTGTGCAGTTTGTTCGAGCCACATACTTGCTGAACGGACAAATTTAGTTCGCCATTAACTTGTTCTTGTATCGATCGATTTGATAAACGGCTTTAAAAAATGCGTTCCACGTATTCGATGCAGTCGCAACAACCATATCTGACGGCGGCCACGGTACACAAAACTAGCATTGCTCTTTCCTTCGCTTTGACGTGAACGTGCGACAGAGACTTAGCTCAAAATTAACCTCATTACACGAAGTAATGAGTGAAATATTACGACATCATGAACATCACAAGGTTAATTGAGATGAGGACACAATTCGATCCACTGACTGACAAATGGCGTCTTTGTTACTCGCTCATTTAGAATTTGTGTGTGTGTGTGTGTGTGTGTGTGTGTACTTTCCTTTGCTTAGTATCTAAGAAAATACACACAGAATGAGGAGGTAACTGAAGTGGGTACTTCTACCTTGGTAGTTGTTTGCCACGACTGCCATGTGTAATCGATAATGTCCACGCACGTATACGTGGAATACATAAAAAATAACGTACGAATTCCAAATACATAACACGTAAGTAGATTTTCTCGGGCGTCATCGAAATGCTCATCGCAGCAAAATCTAGTTGTCCTCAAATGGCGATAACTAAACAAACAAACGACGCGCCGGTGCTCCCGCATTAAAGCACAAGAGAGTGTTTCTATTCAACCTACCTGAAACGAGGAGCCACTCTATAGTACTAATCCTATGTCATTCGAGACGTCACTGTATTCCATACTTCAAAATGAACTCTGATGCACTTTCGTGCATCAGAGTTCATTTTGAACCACAGTACTCAATCGCAATCTTTATCGATATTGAGCGCTTTTAATAAGACAAAGATACTTATAGAGACAAATTAGGTATTTTTCATGCAATCTAATGAGCAAAATAGCTCACGTGAGACAAATTTGGTACTATTAACATCACGGTGGTTTCACGAATAAAAGACTACCATTGTAGCAAATTTCGGACATTAATGTTGAGCAAGCAGAAGTAAAATTCAATAATCGATCAGGAAGCGAGTTATTAATTACTATAATTTATGTATCTTTTAAAAATCTGCTCTTGGAAATTTCTACTACCTCATATTATTGTATAAACATTATTGGATCTGTGTCCCCAAAATAGAAAAAAATTTACGCGATATCGAACTCTGTTCTATGTGCGCATCATGCAACCAAACGAAATTTTAATCCTATACTTGTGTATACAACATTTATATTTCGAATTATACAAATTTAAATATTTTTGCTATTTATGTACTTACCATTGGTACTGATAAAAACTTAGGATGTAAAATTCACTGTTCTCTTTGCATTTACTAAATGGGTTTAGATTTTACGCATCCTTCGTACATAGTAACTGCAGGAAACGCGTTACATTTAAATTTCATTCAGTAACTGTACGACATCTGCAGTACGTTTGTAACAGAAGCTGCAATAATACATATTCGACATAAATTACATACTACTTTATCCATTTCACTGCTTTTATTAATGGCTATTGTACCTATATGTATATTATCATTAAAAGCTTAAAATACATTCTCATATACACAACAAAATTATCTGAATGCAAGTTGCAATATAAATAAATACAGTAAATACAGTAGTAAAATATAAATAAATACAGTGTTACATAACTGTTAAATAGGAAACGGTAATGGATCATGGCAAAGGTTGTGAGACCAACTTACGATGATATCCACCAGACGATTACATATTCAATCATTGCCAAGAAAATGAAATCGATCGCTGCATATCATTACAAGGAATACATTTACAAAATAGAATACGACTTCCATCACCTATAAATACAGTGTGTTTATCGCTAAGCTAGTCGCACTTTCACGACGGCAGTTCGTTATCCAACACACTTCCTAAAATTTCAAGAGTGCCACACGAGCAACAAGAGGTACAAATATAACGATACGAATAACGATAGTACCGTAAGTACGTTACGAAAGAGACGGGAACGATCGGATTCCACTTCCATGAATGAGAAATTTGCTATTTATTTTCAAAAACACTCACTATCAGCTTCATTATATCTGTTCATTATATCTGTTTGCACATTTTTTTCAACTACAAATCTAACAAGCAATAAATATAAAATATTAGAAGTTTAGAATGGCAACGGTTTTCTTCTGAAATTAATTCTCGAAGAATAAATGACAGAAACATATTAAGAATTTCCTACACGACAATATTTTTTTAATATTATTGCGATTGATAATATTAACACTATGCTGTAGAATATAACATATGACATGATAACGCAATGTATTCAGGAATATGTTATGCCGTAATAGGTTTATCATTCAAAGTTGATAATTACTTGACACGCTAACTGATCACTAAGATCAATCATATGTTTATACGTACTACCCATCAATTTCTTTTAATTCAATGTTATGAGGTAGTTAAATTTAGCATAATCTATTTAAAAAACAAAATTCCGACTTTGGCATCATCACCAAGGAATATACAACATTATTAATAAAATAAACTGTAGGTAAATGTGTAGAAAAAATGACACCTTACCGATTTTGTTGAAAAGGATATATGTTGTAGGAATGCTAATTAGAAGTGATTTGAATACATGACGACAGACGTAGTTATCATAGTTTACTTAACAGATCGCGCAAATTTATTCACGAATTTTTTTAATTAATAACACAAAATTTTACATAGTTATTTGCAAAACAATATCGGAATTTTTCGTTCAGTTTGATATAATTTACATGCATACAAGAGCTTGATGTCTTACTATCAAATACAATTTATAATATCTAAACTGTGAATAACATCAGCTTATAATATCTAAAATTAAACAACAAATTTTTTAACTTCATTTTATTATATCTACGTAATTAATGTCGCTCTTCACCTGGTTCTTGTTGCAAAATATTTCTGACTATCAACACTATAATATATATCAATATATAAATAAGTAAGGTGTTATCTTTTTCCATAGATTTACTGGACTCTACTGAATGTTTAAGAATTTGAGAAGTTGTTTATTTTATTAATAAAGTGGACATATTTGATGTGGAAAAAAACAAGTATTACAAAACCAGCGACTACTTCGATTGAAGAAGTTATACGAAGTATATAGTATATGTAAATTTAAGACATATTAAATATATCTCGTCCCAAAAAACTAAACATTCACCTTCGACAAATATAAGTAGAATTAATAATAGCGAAACAATTTTTAGCCATCACTAGCTCAAAAGAACATGATGTTTTTCACATACAGGGTAGATGTTGAAATAAATATCCAACAACTGCTGAGAACTATATTAAATTTCTAATACAGCCTGCATTAACGAATATGTATTTAACAAATATTAAAATTCTATTATATTTATTTTTAATACTTTCATTAATGAATATTGTATCCATGTATAACATTATCATTATACTCTTGAAATAAATTCTATAAATAATAAAACATACGAAACAAAACCACGTGCATGCAACTCCCGTTATAAAGCGGATAAATTCATCGATTATTAAGCAGGAAACGATAGTGGCGCATCCTGGCAAAGACGGGAAGACGAGCTTACGATGACATCCAATATTTTGAACGCCAATGTTGGAATACAAAAGAAAAATCCTCTGGCTACGTCGGAAATAGTCAAGAAACATATTACGTACAAAGGAAATAATTTTTACGTAACGATTAAAGAATGGATAAATTATCTACCAAATGTGAAGTGGCGCAATGTTGCAACAATAAGTTTTGTACACTTATGTGCATTGTACAGTCTCGTCACTATCGACTTTACAATGGATATCAGGACAGTATTTTGGTGTAAGTACAATTTAAGAGATGAGACGCTTCGATCGTTACGTGTGAGACAATAGCTAGATAGATTGTTGACTACATTGCGTAGAATTAATGATAATTAATACATTCAATGTATTTTACTTCAAGATATCTTGATTTGCGTAATTCAAGCGATGGGCTTTACCGCTGGTGCTCATCGTTACTGGACACATCGAACTTTCAAAGCAAAATTGCCACTTAGAATCATACTTGTCTTTTGCTACCTTACAGCTGGCCAGGTAAACATATAGCTGTCTAAATTTGGCGCTGTACATAAAAAGTGAGAGAGGAAAAAGTAGACGTAATAGAAATAAAACGAGATAATATTTTTCTTACGATAGTTTTCTTGCTTAGATCCCTATCCGCAGTTGGGTCCGAGATCATCGGACACACCACAAATTCACGGAAACAAATGCAGATCCACACAACAGCAATCGGGGATTCTTCTTCTCTCATGTCGGGTGGTTGATGGTAAAAAAGCATCCAGAGGTTATCAAAAAAGGTCAACAAATCGATATAAGCGATATTAAGGCGGATTCTCTCATTATGTTCGCTGATAAGTGAGTTCTCGTCCGTTTGCATAGCATATAACCTGTTATAATCTAGTGCCTGACGGGTAAAAAGAATGAATACAAATCCATTGAATTTTATCGTATTTCTCTTGGTTTATTTCTTGGATGCAGAACCTGTCCAGCTGAGTATCGATTCGATATCATTGAAAAATTATCTTTAATATTGTAATTTTATCTGTTTCCACAGGCATTTTTGGATACTGAGTTTGATTTTCGCCCAGGTGATACCGGTTATAGTGCCCGTTTACGGGTGGAACGAAACATGGATAATGTCCATGAAATTGCATTTCTTTCGTTATATGTTCGGGTGGCATAGTGTATGGAGTGTCAATAGTTTCGCTCACATGTGGGGCAGCAGACCGTACGACGTGTAAGATCTCTGTTCACCTGTTTATTCCAAGTTAATTGCGTACATACACATTATGTCTAATAATTTATAATTATTTTAATACTAAGATATTTGGCAATTAGCGAAACAAACCTTGCTAATAATTTAATGAGGTTTAAAGAAATTACAGTTGTGATTTATTTGAACGATAGGCACATTAAACCAACGAATAACGTGATGGTCTCATTTGCATCTTTCGGCGAGGGTTCACATAATTATCATCACGTGTTCCCATGGGACTATAAAGCATCTGAGTTCGGTAAACACAGACAGAACTTTACGGCTATGTTCATCGATTTTTTTGCAAAAGTCGGCTGGGCATATGATCTACAAAAACCGTCTCCGGAGCTCGTGAAGTCTGTGATAATAAAGAATAGAAAGGGCGAGCGATATTGTGAGTGGGATGCTGTACCGCCTCCGAATGGTGAAATATATTTATAATCTAAATCATCGCTTATGAATTGGACTTATGAATTGGACAGGACTCCTGTATGTTGAAATCGCTTTGTCTACGGTCCACGACTAGCGTTATATTTATTTTAACACATTGAACGAACTGTTTTTTGTTGAATAGTAGCAAGTAATTTGTTGAATATGCGAAAGAAATTATATTCCTCCGATTTTTATATTCTTTTAACGGAGTGTTAAGCATGAATAAAAACATGAATTGAATAATTATTAGCTTACTATCATTTGATCCACTTTTTCTATCCTTTTTTTATATTTCGTATTTATTAATAACAGACTAGATATAAATAGTATTATACTAGCACAACTGGTACAACTAGCACTAGCCAGACATGCAATTTACCTATATCTTAGCGAAAACACGTCATACCAAAAGACCAAAGATATCGTATTAGGCATAAAGCCTATTTCAGTTCAATTTAGGAAAAGTGTAGCTAACATTACAGTTTCAAGATACCTCGAATACGTATATGAGAAAAGCGGAAGTTACTTAGACTTAGTCTGCAAATGAAACGTACTGTATGAGATCTGTGTAAACTTGACCTCCACTTTTCCAATTCTTTATTTTCGTTAATTACGCTGAATTATGCCACGGTTGTCTCGTCCGGATAGACAATGTAGTGTTTCCACGCACACTTGCACCAACAGTTTAGATTCGCGCCCAAGCGATTCGCGCGCGGTGGGGGCGCGCTCTGCGTGTCCCGAGCCTCGCTCGCCGCTCTTGTCATTGGCCGCGTTCAACAGAAAAAGCTGCTTACTAAGCGCTTAGTGATTATTATCTATGATTGGAGTATTCTTTTAGATCTTTAACAAATCTAAGGGAATGAACCAATCAGGAACGATAATCACTAAGCGCTTAGTAAGCAGCTTTTTCTGCTGAACGCGGCCATAGTGTTTCTGTTGCGCGTTGCATCATCAATTCTCTCGGGCTTTTCTTGTTCTGAAAGTTTTGTTTAGGTTTCGTATGCACTCTAGTGCTTTCAAGAGTCAGAAGGATATCCATTGTAGCCTGTTTAAAAATGGGTCTTACAAGAAACACCGGTCGCGGGATGCATCGCGGGATCGTTCTAGAGAGGTTAGGCCCCACAATAGATCTCAGAATATTGTCTCAAGGCGGCGTTCATCCGATGGCACCAATGCCGATTGTGGCACTTCCTACAGGTGTTCAGAACGGGTGTTCCGAACGTCTTGTCGCGGTCTTTTTTACCGACATGTTCTAGGATTCCTAGGGCGATCCTTGTGAGAGTCCAGATTCGAACATACCCTTCTACCTACGGGTTCTGCTTATGCGTTAGAATAAGGCGTTAGAATAAGGCAACTATTACAAGAATAATCTATTGTGATTGGTCTATTTTTATTCTTATTGCCTGTTGCCTAGCATTGTGCAAAGGGCTTAACGCTCCGAGCACCGCGGAATTCCCAAGGGGGAATAGTCCGATAAGGCTCGCTGCCTCCCCCATCCCCCCGAGACGAGACCTTGTCAGTCCGGAGGAGGCTCGATCCGGCAGACGAGCAGGTTCTTTCAGAACCGGGGCGGAAAACCTGGTATGTTCACTCGCGTAGGCACAGACAGAACATAACCGATTGCTCGTCTGCGAACTCTTCTAGTGATCTACGAGGAGGGGACTGCGCCTTTTCGTCCCGAGATGAGATCTTGTCAGTCCGGAGGAAGCTCATTCGACAGACGAGCAGATGGTTCTTCAGAACCGGGGCGTCGAACTAGGAATGTTCTCTCGAGCTGGCACAGAGAGAACATTACCGATTGCTCGCCTGCGAACTTCTTTAGAGGTCTACGAGAAGAAGACCGTGCTTGAGCCCACGCGCGTCTCTGACCCCCATATAAAGGAAGACGAGGGGGGCTGTACCCGGAGGTGGTAATCTCTTCGACACGCTCTGAGACCAGTTAGGACTCAAAGCTGAGGAGCGTCAGATTTGACTCACCGAATAGAAGGCTCGTGGTCCTGAGTTAGCTGGCCAAAATAATGGTCAAGTTAGTTAAGAAAATAAATCATTGAGGCTATAGCAATATTCCTCGCAATAATCGAAACATGTAAGGAAAGTACGTATTGAAAAGCTAACGTGTATAAGCAATAATAATAAGTAAATGTAGACCGTGACGTGAGTATATCATACAATTTGAATTTTAAATAAGTTGTTTGTATTTTCTATTATAAAAAAATAAAAAGAGAGCTCTTAAAAGACATTAATTGAAATATTTTACTTTTAATCACTGTTACAAATATGTATACTTCTATGTATACGCTTGATCAGTAAATTGAACTTTAAGTTTAATGATACTATTTAATTATCACGTAATTGTGCAGTATGTGAAATAATAGAACGCTCACAGCTCACAAAACATATTACTATTTATATTTGTCTTTATTTTCAGATAGTATTGTGCAATCAGACAATATTTTATTCATTTATTACGTAAGAAATAAAGGCAGTACTTATTTTATTAACTTTTCATTATTTAAGCAATACAAATACGAAAGCAGATCAAATCCCGGTATTGTTCATAATTGATTCTTATTATTTAAAACTGTCTTAAGTACAATCTTAAAATATCGTAAACTAATCACAACAGAACCGTGTGAGCGTCTTAAAAGACACTACTTATGATTACTAATCACGAACTAGGTACACGCGAGTGAGATGCGCGCACCGGCCTTGAGCGCTACATAGACAAGAGCGCTTATTCATTAAATTTAACACGCTTTCCTGCAAAAACTACTTGTCGGACGCAATTTTACTAAAGGAAAAAGTAGTTTGTTTTAGCATAAAGTATCATGTACTCCGAATGCGGGAATTTCGGATCACCCAGTATATTATCATTAAATGCTTGAAATATATTCTCACAAACAAAACAAAATGATCCGATTGAAAATAAATGGCAAATTTCTTATTCATGGAAATGGAATCGGATCGTTTCCGTCTCTTTCGTAATGTACTTACTATCGTTATTCGTATCGTTACATTTGTATCTCTTATTGCTTGTATGGTGCTCCAGAAGTATTAGAAAGTATGTTGAAAGACGAACTGCGGTCATGCGACGAACTTAGCGATAGAATATATACTACACTTATAAATATATGGAAATCATATTCAATTCAAATGTATTCTTTAGATGTGTTGACAAGCAGTGATTGTATTTTTTTTACATGGCAATAATTGAATATACAGGATGTTCCATTTTAAAAGATCCACTCAAATATCAGAAATCAATATTATGTTAAATCGAAAAATGTTTCAGACAAAAGTTGTATGGTTTCAAGGGGTACATAAAACAACTATATCAGTTTGTTTACAGATGACGCTACTTTCGAGATATTCACTGATCATTTTCTTAAACGGAAGCCCCAATTTTTTATTATATCATCTTTTCCTACTAGTTAATTTGAACAACTTTTATCTGAAATATTTTTTTACTTACCTAAAATTTTTTATATTATTAGCATAAAGGATATGAGATAAGTATTTATTCGAGCAATGCTTTTATCAAAATACGAGAAAATAATTAGTTTTGTTTTAATTTATGTAAAGCACTGCAAACAAATGGAATTTTTTCATCCGAAACTGTATGGATGTCATAAATACCCTATTGAATGAAATACCAAAAATTCTGACACTCCTTCGGATAGCAGGCATTGAAGGTGATAAATATCTTGAAAAGCGTATCAAGAGCTTTTAAAACAGATAGAACTTCGTACATATTTTTGTCGATTCGCACGTAAATTTTTTCTATGGAAGTTATCTCATGTCCAACAACTATAATAAAGGGCTGCATTGTTTCAGATTGCACAGATTCATCCGACACATCTTCTTTTCTTTTTCAATGCATACTTGTTCGATATCTCCAAGTATCTAAGGAAAGAAAACTATTAAATTATATTTTACTATGTAATACAAATAATAATCTGAAATAATTATATTTTATAAGTTAAAATAATGAAAACTACATATAAGTTATAAAAGAATATTGAGAGAGATATTGCCGAACTTTACTATATTGCTATCACTTTACAATGCACAAGAATGCCATCTCGGCTCTCAGAAATTATAGGTTTTCACACTCTTCTCCGACCTTCTGTAAATATACAAATTTTTATCGACTTAGGAGCTAAAACAGCTATTTGTTTGTCACGCCTGCCACGCGTAATCGATAATGTCCACGCACGTATGTACACATGCGATATATGAGAAATGACGCATATTTTCTATATGCATAACGCGGATGCAGATTCTTGCGTGTGTCATCGAAAAGTTCATCGCGGTTAAATCGAGTTGTCCTTGAATGGCGATGACTGAACGAATAATCGTCGCGCTGGTGCGCTCGCATTAAAGCACAAGAAAGTGTGTTTCTATTCGACTTACTTGAAATGAGAAGCCATTCTCTACTAAGTCACTCGTAACGTTACTGTACTGTATTCCACTTTCCGTGCATCGAGGTTAATTTTGGATCATAGTACTCAATCGCGCGATTTTCATCGATATTCCACGCTTTTCTTAAAATAGGTATACTTGTGAAGACAAGCATTAGACATTTTTCATGCAGCTTAATGAGCAAAATAGCACACATGAGCCGAGATATGTTTAATACTATTAACGACATGATGGCTTTGCCAATAAAAAACTGCCACTGTAATAAATTTCGGGCATAAATCTTGAGCAAGCGGAAGCAAAATTCAAGAATCGATCAGTAAATTATTAATTATAGTTAACTGTGGTTAATTATAGAGAGTTATTAATTATTGTTATTTATATATCTCTTGAAATTCTGCTTTTAGAAATTTTTGTTGCTTCATACTATTGTACAGGATATATAAAAAGTACCGCGACGGTGAAGTATCACAAAAACTAAGCATTTTAGAAAAAAATGTTTCAAATAAAAATTGTAGGGTTTCAAAAGATCTGATTTATTGATATTATGAGTTTGATTTTGAGTGGTGTCGCCAAGTTCAGGACAAGACCATCTTGAATTAAATAGGACTCCCTATTTTTTATTACATATTCTTGTAGTCCTTCTTCGGGATCTTTTTAGCACTATAATTTATTCTATTTTGAGTAAGCCGTTTCGAAGTTATCGAGCTTTTTATGATAAGATTCAGCCAACCAAGACAAGATCAAAGAAGTATCCAGTCAGTCAAGGCAAGATCGAAGAAGTATCCAGCCAGGTAAGGCAAGATGATCATAAAGGAAAACTAGCAATTAAAAGCGCGATTAATGTATCAAATGTTCAAATTGTTCACCATTCATTATTTGACAATGTGCTAATCGATGATAAAAACCTGAAACTGAGCATCTTCTATGTATTCATTAGGTATAAGTGCCGCTTCATCAAGAATCCGATCTCGTAGATCATTTAGATCCCGAGGTTTAGTTTTGTATATTTGATCTTTTAGATAACCCCAGAGAAAGTAGTCGAGAGGTGTCAAATTCGGTGACCAAACTGGCCACTCGATCGTGCCTCTCCTCCCTATCCACCGTTCAGGAAAAATTGTGTCCAAATAAATACAAACGTTTCGTCCATAATGCGATGGTGCACCATCCTGTTGAAACCACACCTGTTGAAAGTTTTCACCAACGATCGCGTTGATCGCATTGAGGGACGATCTGATTTCTCAGCACGTCTTCATATGAACGACCTGTTAAGTTGCCTTCAATAAAGAATAGTCCTATCAATCTATTACTTAATATTCCTGCCCAAACGTTCAATTTCTGTGGATATTGCGTATTGTGTTCCCACATCCAGTGAGAGTTCGTATCTGACCATAATCTGCAATTATGTCTGTTAACAATACCGTTTAATTGAGACGTTGCTTCATCTGAGAAGACTATGTTAGGTAAAAAGTCTACATCTTCTGTAGGTTCTGCATCTGTTTTCGCTATCACAGTCTCACAGAACTGAACACGTCGATCAAAATCGTCTTCGTTTAGCTCATGAACAAGTCGTATTTTGTAAGGGCGAAATTTATTCCTTTTTAATATCTTATGCGCAGATGTAGAATTTATCTCATGTTCTTAAGCAGTTCTGCGGACAGAAGTTTGTGGATTCTCTATGAATGATTGTAAAACATCCAGTGCCTTTTCTTCATTTATTGCTACGGCAGGCCCTTCTGTTTTAAGATTTTTAATGCTTCCTGTTTCTTCAAACCGCCTTCACACAGTTTTTTCAACAGTTAATTTCGAAATAGGAGTATTCTCATCTCGAAAAGTTATATTGAAAATATCCTTTACATCTTGATACGATCTTAATCTATCAGCCCAATCCAGTGTGTCAAATTTTGAGCCGTTGATAGCACACGTAGCGTGTGTTAATGACACGGATGCGAGCGTTCGGCCGAGGAGTAGAGATAGGGAGTAGGGATAGGAGAAATAGACATCTGCAGGAGACATCGTTCACTCTCTGTTACTCTATTTCTCCTATCCCTACTCCCCAGAGTGCTCGCATCCGTGTCTCCAATACACGCTACGCGTGCTACCACCAGCGGCTTAAAACTGGACACACTTCTCCAGCCCCTCATCATCAAGACAGATATTCTATCGTCTTCGGTAAGGTGTTGCATTTTAATTGATGAGAATTATCGAAATAGAAATTTTGAAACGAATGAATAACTAGCAGCAATACTTTAAAATGAACTAAATGGAAGAAAATATACAGAAATAAGCAAAATAAAAATTGAAGAAATCCTTAAAAAAGCGTTTGAGAATAATGTCAATCTCTAAAAGAAAAAGTAAAGTCTAACGGATAAGCTAGGAAACAAAAAGATTTATTCAACAAACAGAAATTTGTATTAATTAGATAACAAAGTCGATAATTCAATGAAAGAAAGAAAAATCAATAAGAAAAATCATTTATCTTTTCCGTATGAAACAACGCGTATCATGTACAAGTAATGTGTTTTACTTCAAGTCAAATTCATTGTAATTGATTTGAAATGATTCGAAGGTGAATTTTAGTACTGTTATAAATTTAATACATTAGTATTACTTTTTAATATTACATGTGTCTGAAATGCAAGTCACGAAATTGCTCCAGCCGGTGGCAGGACATCTTATCATAAAAAGCTCGATAACTTCGAAACGGCTCATTCAAAGTGGAGAAAATTATAGTGCTTTGAAAAAGCCTTGTGCCTGTATGTGTATATTATCATTAAAAGCTTGAAATATACAGTCTGTAAAATAAGAGCGTGCACGGCATAAATGGCAGTTGGCTTCAAATATCGTCCTAGTTTTTTTGTGAGCTGATAGATGAAATCTTTGTCGTGAATGCTTTGTCACAAAAGATTCAGTTGGCGTCGAACTCTAACCTGAGAAACACGTTAACCATGCGCCATGAGTGCCGCATACGCATCGCGCTACGAGGCTGTGTTCCTTTGTTCCCACCCCAAAGGACCAAAAATGTCATATGCAGTGGCTGCTAAATACATGGGAAAGTCAAAATCCTTCGTCGCTAAGTGGATTCAGCAATGTAAGAAGATCAAAAATGTCGATGACTTGCCAGAACGTGGCTCGATAGGCAAAGTGACGCCGAATATGGAAAAGAAAATTGTGAATTTGTTTAAGCGAAACCCGACCTTAATGCTTAAAATTTATGAGAAGTGTTTGTTGCCGACTGCTGAACGATGCTTCATAAAAAAACGAGAACTGGATCATACAGGAAGACAACGACTCAAAACACCAGAGCAAGCTTTGCACCGAGTGGAAAGAGCAGTCCGGCATCGTCACACTTGATTGGCCATTGCAGTCGCCAGATGCAAATCCCATTGAATATGTGTGGCCATATCTCAAGCACAAGCTTCGAGGAAAAAGAGTGTGCACTTTGAAGCAGCTGACACGACAAATTCGTCTCATTTGGAGGTCTTTACCGAACGAATACGCAGTCAACTTAGTGGAAAATATGCCTCGGAAATGCCAGGCAATTATTAATGCCGGTGGTGACTGGACTCATTATTAATGGTACAGCATTTTTCTTCTCATGGAGTACAACAAATCCATGTACTTAAAAATCATTAAAAATAAATATTTCTACACATTACCCGTGCACGCTCTTACTTTACAGACTGTATTCTCATATATACATATAAAACAAAATTATCCGAATGCAATTTCCATTATAAAGCATAAATTAATACAGTGTTCTATAATTATTACTAGAAAACAATAGTGACATCGCAAAGGTAACGAGATCAACTGATGATGATATCCATCAGACAATTACATATTCAATCATCCCCAAGTAAGTAAAATCAAATACTGCACGTCATCACATCTAAAGAATACATTTACAAAATTGAATATGATTTCCATATATTTATAAATGTAGTATATATTTTATCGCTACGCTAGTCGCACGACCGTAGTTCGTCTTTCAACATACTTCCTAAAACATCAGGAGCATCACATAAGGAATAAGAAATACAAATGTAACGATACGAATAACGATAGTAAGTACATTATGAAAGAGACGGGAATGATACGATTCCACTTCTAAGAATGAGAAGTTTGCTATTTATTTTCAAGAACACTCACTACCGGCTCTTAGGTCATTATATCTGTTTGCACATTTTTTTCAACTATAAAATCTAATATTACAAGTAATAAATATGAAATATTAAAAATTTACAGTGGCGACAATTTTCTTCACGGTACGCCGCCCCGGTTCTCAAGAACCGGATGCTCATCTGCCTGCGAGTCCTCTGGAACGTCGATGAGAATGTCGTCTAGCTCCAAAGGGAGTGGAGAAAACTCGACGAAGGAGACAGTGGCTGACTGAGGCTGGCCCGCTAAGAAAAAAGCATAGTCAGATAGTGCAATCGGATACGTGCCTTCGGATAGCGAAGGCAACGTACCTGGTACGCCGCCCTGGTTCTCAAGAACTGGATGCTCATCTGTCTGCAAGTCCTCTGGAACGGCGATGAGAGCATCGTCCGCCAGGGTAGGGCTAGCGACCTGCATCGCGACGACGGGAACAGACCGGACGTTGTCGGCAGGCAGAGATGCGGAAGCCCGTTGGATCTTCTTGAAGGCCAAAATATCGTGCAAGATAATGGCGGGATCCGCTCCCGACGAGAGGGAAGCATCGCGTGAGGAAGCTCGCGGCCTAACTTCCAAATCGCGTTCGCGCGAGCGAATTCCAAGATCTTGTTCGCGCGATCTATCGCGAGAATTACGCCGACGTTTCCGGGAACGATGACTTATATTCAGGCATCTTGGAGCCCCACCAGGAACAAAGGAGATGAAGAATAAACACAGTACACACCGCACACAAAAAACAACGAACTAGGTTGCGCGCAACAGAAATACAATGAGATGGTCCTGCGCGAGCGCGCGGGAGAACGGTGGCGCGCGCGCCCTCTTTTTTCCTTCCTGACAGGAATGTGAATTGTTGGGAAGTGCGTATACAGAAGACACTACTACAGTATCCATCCGGACGAGACCACAGAGTATAATCAAATACTGCATGTCATCATATCTAAAGAATACATTTACAAAATTGAATATGATTTCCATATATTTATAAATGCAGTATATATTCTATCGCTACGCTAGTCGCACAATCGTAGTTCATCTTTCAACATACTTCCTAAAACTTCAAGAGCACCACGTAAGTAGTAACAGATACAAATGTAACGATACGATTAACGATAGTAACTACGTTATTATATATATTATATATTATATTATATTATATTATTATATATAGTATACAAAGAGACGGGAACGATCCGATCCCACTTCTAAGAATGAGAAATTTGCTATTTATTTTCAAGAACACTCACTATCGGCTCTTAGGTCATCATATCTGTTTGCACATTTTTTTCAACCATAAAATCTAATATTACAAGTAATAAATATGAAATATTAAAAATTTACAGTGGCGACAATTTTCTTCTGAAATTAATCTTTTGAATCTTCTGAAATTTTCTTCTCGAAAAATAAATGGTGCAGGAATATATCAAGAATTTTCTACACGACAATATTTGCTAATATTATTTCAATTGATAATAATATTAACACTATGCGATAGAATAATAATACGTACGACATGATAACGCGATGTATTCAAAAATATATGATGATGTAATAGGTTCATCATTCTAACAATAATTATTTGACGCACTAATTGATGACTAAGATCGATCATATGTTTATTACGTGTTATCCATCAATTTCTTTTAATTTAATGTTATGAGGTAGTAAATTTAGCATAATCTGTTTAAAAAATGTAATTCCGTCTTTGGCATCATTACCAAGGAATATGCAACGTTATTAATAAAATATACTGTAAGTGAATGTATAGAAAAAATGTTACCGATTTTCGGCCATTATAAGCTTGAATATCAATATAAGCTTGAAATAAATTCTATAAATAATGAAACATACGAAACAAAGCCACATGCATGCAACTTCCGTTATAAAGCGGATAAATTCATCGATTATTAAGCAGGAAACGATAGTGGCGCATCCCAGCAAAGACGGCAAGACGAACTTACGATGACATCCAACACTTTGAACGCCAATGTTGGAATACAAGAGAAAGCTCCTTCGGTTATGTCAGTAATAGACAATAAACATGTTACGTATAGAGGAAATAGTTCGCACTCAGCGATTGAAGAATGGATAAATTATCTACCAAATGTGAAGTGGCACAATGTTGCAATAATAAGTTTTGTACATTTAAGTGCATTGTACAGTCTCGTCACTATCGACTTTACAATGGATATCAAGACAGTCTTTTGGTGTAAGTACAATTTAGGAGATAAGACGCTTCGATCGTTACGTGTGAGACAATAGCTAGATAGATTGTTGACTACATTGCGTAGAATTTCATTGCTTAGAATTAATGATAATTAATACATTCGATGTATTTTACTTCAAGATATCTTGATTCACGTAATTCAAGCGATGGGCTTTACCGCTGGTGCTCATCGATACTGGACACATCGAACTTTCAAAGCAAAATTGCCACTTAGAATCATACTTGTCTTTTGCTATATTGTAGCTGGCCAGGTAAACATATAGCTGCCTAAATTTGGCGCTGTACATAAAAAGTGAAAGAGGAAAAAGTAGACGTAATAGAAATAAAACGAAATAATATTTTTCTTACGATAGTTTTCTTGCTTAGATCTCTATCCGCAATTGGGTCCGAGATCATCGGACACACCACAAATTCACGGAAACAAATGCAGATCCATACAACAGCAATCGGGGATTCTTCTTCTCTCACGTCGGGTGGTTGATGGTAAAAAAGCATCCAGAGGTTATCAAAAAAGGTCAACAAATGGATATAAGCGACATTAAGGCGGATTCTCTCGTTATGTTCGCTGATAAGTGAGTTTTCGTCCGTTTACATAGCATATAACCTGTTATAATCTAATGCCTGACAAGTAAAAGAGAATGAATCTAGATACATTGAATTTCATCGTATTTTTCTCGGTGTATTTCTTGGATACAGAACCTGTCCATCTGAATATCAATTTAATATCATTGAGAAATTATCTTTAATGTTGTAATTTTATCTATTTCCGCAGGCATTTGTGGATACTACATACAATTTTCGGCATAATGATACCGATTATGATGCCCGTTTACGGGTGGAACGAAACATGGCCAATGTCCATGAAATTGCATTTCTTTCGTCATATATTGGGGTGGCACAGTGTGTGGAGTGTCAATAGTTTCGCTCACATGTGGGGCAGCAGACCGTACGACATGTAAGATCTTTGTTCACTTGTTCATTTTAAGTTTATTCTAGGTTGTTATTTTAAGTTAATCACGTACATACGGTACGTTTAATAAATCATAATTATATTAATACTAATATTTGTTATAAATCATAATTATATTAATACTAATATTTGACAATTAGTAAAATAAACCTTGCTAATAATTTAATGTAGCTTAAAAATCACAGTTGCTATTTATTTGAACGATAGGCATATTAAACCGACGAATAACATGATGGTCTCATTTGCATCTTTCGGCGAGGGTTCACATAATTATCATCACGTGTTCCCATGGGACTACAAAGCATCTGAATTTGGTATACACACATACAACTTTACGGCTATGTTAATCGAATTCTTTGCGAAAATTGGTTGGGCATACGATCTACAAGAACCGTCTCCGGAGCTCGTGAAGTCTGTCGCAATTAAGAATAAAATGGCCGAACGCCATTACAAGTGGGATGCTGTACCGCCTCCGAATGGTGAAGGTAAAATATATTCATAATCTAACTCATCGCCCATAAGTTGGACAGAACTCTTGTATGTTAAATACGTTTTGTCCACGATCTACGATTTATTTGAACACATTGAACAAACTGCTTCTTATTGAGGAATAGCTGTTTACTGAATATAAGGAAGAAATTATTATATATATTCTTCAGATATATTCCTCAGATTTTTATATTCTTTTAACGGCGTGTTGGGCATAAATAAAAATATAAACTGAATAATTATTGGCTTACTGTCATTTGATTCGCTTTTTCTCTTCTTCTCCTTGTATTTCGTATTTATTAATGACAGACTAGATATAAATAATATTGTACCAGCACAACTAGCACTAGCCAAACGTGCAATTTACCTATATCTTGGCCAAAACGCGTCACATCGAAATATCGCGTATTAGGCATAAATCCTTTTTCAGATCAATTTAGTAAAGGTGTAGCTAACACTATAGTTTCAGGATACCTGGAATACGTATATAAGAAAAGCGGAAGTTAATTAGACCTCTCCAAACGGAACGTACTGTATGCGATTTATATAAACTTGTCCTTCACTTTTCAAATTCTATATTTTCGTTAATTATGCTAGATTATGCTGAGATTTCAAAAAACTGCGCAAAGATTATACCGAGGGAATACAAAAATTTTTTTCTTATCGCGATAAATTGTCAAATGTTTAAATTTCGTAGTACAACTGTTTAAGGTTGTGGTTCGTAGAAATTGTAAATTCCGTATAAGTTTCCATATCACTTGAAACATTAGATAATCTAAATTTGCGACTTGCATAATTGAATGACTTGAAAGCAAAGAAAAACCCTGTCAAAGATTTTTCGCGAAATTTCTTGGTAAAGAGAAAGTTAGTTAAAAGAGATGTAAATAAATAAAAAATTGCCAATTCCCAAATTTTCTTAAATTATGTTACATTGTACCGAACTAATACAATAATTTTGGAAAAAATATTACTCTTGTGTGCAAAATATTATGTGCAAAATGCAGATGCAAGCGGTGCGGTCACAAAGAACTTACACATTTCTCTAAGCATCTTTTGCTTCTTTTCTCTTTCGAATGATGCGATATTGATTTGCCGATTAATTCGATGTTAATTCGATGCCGATTAATTCATAGTTCGCGGTAAGTCCGAGATGAGTTTGTATCACGGGATTCCTGTTATAGATAAGCTAAACGGAAAACTAACTTGGCGAATGAGAAGCAAAAGTACAATAAGAGACTGCTCGACATTAGACGAGACAGCTGAAATTATGGTTAAAACAGATCAATTCGAATCTCGTACTTTGTTTTTACCTAACTGTCCCACTCCTCATTAATACTCACATGCTGATACATAACAATACTAATTAAAACTGCGTGTCAGTAATGTCCAGTTATGTGATTTTTATATTAAACATCAACGGGATCTCACGATAGTGTGACATCCCGCGTGTGAAAAGTATCGAAAGGACAAACATAAAAAGAAGGAAAAGAAAAAAATTGGAAAAAAACGACGAAATGAAAGTGCAATAAGGTGGAAATAATAATATTTCACAGATCTTAAACAAATGCGACGTTATTATTGTACTCTTTATCGTAGCTTCACTGCATGTTTACGATCGTTGAGCCACATACTTCCTGAACAGGCAAATTTAATTCGCGGTTAGCTTGTTCTCGTATTGATCGACTTGATGAACGGCTTTGGAAAATGCGTTCCACGCATCCAGTGCAGTCGCAATAACTGTACCTGACAGCGATCAGGGTACACAAAGCCAGAGTTGCCCTTTTTTTTGCTTTGATATGAATGTGCGACAGAGACTGAAATTAACCCCATTACACGAAATAATGAGTGGGGCATTGTCATGAACATCATAAGGTTAATTGAGATAAGGACATAATTCAAGCCACTGATTGACAAATGGCGTGTTTGTCACTCACTCGTTTAGAATTTATGTATGCGTGTGCGTGTGTGTATTTTTTTTGCTTACAAGGGGAGGACGCATCGACCTCCCCTTGGGAAACGGTTAGGACGAAACTTACGGAGTTAATAGCACTTGACTA